CTTACAGTGTATTTAGGTGACTGCAGCAGCCTATTAGCACACAAAGAACCATGAAGTGAATGATCAATGAAGCGAGAGAGCTATCAACTGAGCCAGACTGTTACATATTTTTAAGTCTTATTGTGTGGGAAATTGTATGTCTTTTTCACCCCTTGCTTAAATTCACTGCATTCATTCAACTCATTTTTATTATTGTGCAGTAAGGCCTGAACATCGGATTTCCAGATCTGGAGGAAAAATATTTACAGTCAAGCCTGTCTTCAACAACCACTCAGGAGAATGGGCAAAAGTGGCCTTTATATAACAACAAACTTTCCAGCACATTGGGACGTCCTCCTGACGTGAAAGGCGCTATACATGTGTAATTTTGTGGTATATTGATTGTATATTGATTGTATATATATTTCCTTCCTCCTCCTGTGATGCCTCAGATGCCTGCTGGGATGAAGAACAACAGGCACGAATTACCCATTTTCATTCAAAACAAAGATCTGGAGTCTAATATTGCATCTATTCAAGCTGTGCATCAAGGGGCCCTTGGTTTAATATGCAGCTTGAATTGATACAATTTGCATCTATTCAAGCTACACATTAAAAGTCCATTATTATGCCACCCCCCGCAAGAAAATTTTAACCGCCATTGAGCACTTCATTTTGTACGATAGCCTCAAGGAAATAAGTCGAAAATTTCTGAGAGGTGAAGTGTTATGTGGTGCCCAAATGATTTAATGATTATTCTTGCATATGTCTACTTTATTGATAAAAGTGCATTGTTTAAAAATTTGTATGAATTTTTACATTGTCTATTTTAAAATTTGGATTGCAACTAAAATATAGTTTAATTAAGTGATACAGTTTAAAACATACAGATTTAAAATGTAGGATTTCTATATGATTCTATATGGGTTATATTTCTGGAAAGGAAACACATAAATATTGCTTCTGTGGCCCACAGACGATTCTCAAATCTGGCATCTGGCCCTCAGCAGCCAAAAGGTTGGACCACCCTGACCTAACATCACAGGATTCACCTGAGATGTTATTATCTGTATGGCTTAGTGCTTCAATGGATATCTTTACTCACAAGGTCATCCGGTTCAGACAGGATTGTACAAACAGAGTGGTCCAACTGGCGATATCATCAAAGGTCACAAGGTAACTGACACCCATTTAAAAAAAACTCTAGCTAAGATTCCCAAACCCAAGTTCAGTTTAATTATGATACTCAACACATGGGATTTCTAAAACTTTACAAATACAAAATATTTAACTCATGACTGCTTTAATAAAATGTTTCATTTGTTTTCCCATCTTCTGACTTTCCTGTCAGTACCAAGTATAATTTAATAGTCCCCAAATACAGTAATGGTCATTCACTTCATCGCAGCTTGGTGGATATTGCTGTATCTCAACCCATCGTCCCTCTCGGCTGCCTTGGAGTCATCTGAACTCCTTCCCTTCTGGGTTCCTCTCTCAATGACCTATCCTCCTCAGTCACTCTTCTCCACGGCTCCCTCTCCTCCACTTGATTCCCTCGTTCCCCTCTCTTCCTGAACCATCTTCTATTCGCGTAAGTCACCATGGTACACCAGCCACCGTAAAGCACAGGTGCGTGCCGCTGAACGCACCTGGCTTAACAACAACTTGGATTTATATAGCAGCCTCCACGCCGGACGGCGTCTCAGAGCGCTTTACAGTAACGGATCCCGGGACCGAGCCGGGGGAGGGTGGGGAAGGTGACCAAAAGCTGGTTGAAATGAAAGGTCTTCAGCAGAGAATCTAATCTAACGGTCCATTGGCAGATCTGGCTGGCTGACAGGTCATTGCAGATCAAATCTTACCACTCCACCCTCGCCCTCCGCTAAAACTAGTCTGTTCTAATTACGTACAAGGATCCAAAGTCTTGGAGCGGTCACTCACAGACAGATGATGAGACAAGTGTGTGCAGTGTCGACTAACACAGACACACACGGACAGTGTGTGCAGTGTCGCTACAGACACACGGACAGTGTGTGCAGTGTCCCTAGAGACACACACGGACAGTGTGTGCGGTCACTACAGACACACACGGACAGTGTGTGCAGTCTCGCTAGAGATACACGGACAGTGTGTGGTGTGTCGCCACACACGGACAGTATGTGGAGTGTCCCACAGACACATGGACAGTGTGTGCAGTGTCACTATAGACACATGGACAGTGTGCGCAGTGTCACTGCAGACAGACATGGACAGTGCGTGCAGTGTCAGTACAGACACACAGTGTGTGCAGTGTTACTACAGACACACACGGACAGTGTGTGCAGTGCCCCTACAGACACACACGGACAGTGTGTGCAATGTCACTACAGACAGACACGGACAGTGTGTGCAATGTCACTACAGACACACACGGACAGTGTGTGCAATGTCACTACAGACACACACGGACAGTGTGTGCAATGTCACTACAGACACACACGGACAGTGTGTGCAATGTCACTACAGACACACACGGACAGTGTGTGCAATGTCACTACAGACACACACGGACAGTGTGTGCAATGTCACTACAGACACACACGGACAGTGTGTGCAATGTCACTACAGACACACACGGACAGTGTGTGCAATGTCACTACAGACACACACGGACAGTGTGTGCAATGTCACTACAGACAGACACGGACAGTGTGTGCAATGTCACTACAGACAGACACGGACAGTGTGTGCAATGTCACTACAGACACACACGGACAGTGTGTGCAGTGTCACTACAGACAGACACGGACAGTGTGTGCAGTGTCCCTACAGACAGACACGGACAGTGTGTGCAGTGTCCCTACAGACAGACACGGACAGTGTGTGCAGTGTCACTACAGACAGACATGGACAGTGTGTGCAGTGTCACTACAGACAGACATGGACAGTGTGTGCAGTGTCACTACAGACAGACATGGACAGTGTGTGCAGTGTCCCTACAGACAGACATGGACAGTGTGTGCAGTGTCCCTACAGACAGACATGGACAGTGTGTGCAGTGTCACTACAGACAGACATGGACAGTGTGTGCAGTGTCAGTACAGACAGACATGGACAGTGTGTGCAGTGTCACTACAGACAGACATGGACAGTGTGTGCAGTGTCAGTACAGCCATATGGTCAGTAGTGCTGCACGAGCTGTAGAGCCGCACATGCGCAGTAACAGCGCACTGTGGCTGCAGACTCGCACATGCGCGGTGCGGGCGGGAGGAGAGCGTTGCCCCAGTGACGCTGTCAATATTCTCTCAGAGCTCAGCGCGGAATGTCAGCACCGGAACCGTCACCAACAGCAACAGAGACAACAACACACACTGACAACACAGCGACACACACACCGACAACACAGCGACACACACACCGACAACATAGCGACACACACACCGACAACATAGGGACACACACACTGACAACATAGGGACACACACACACCGACAACACAGCGACACACACACCGACAACATAGGGACACACACACCGACAACATAGGGACACACACACACCGACAACATAGGGACACACACACCGACAACATAGGGACACACACACTGACAACACAGCGACACACACACCGACAACATAGGGACACACACACCGACAACACAGCGACACACACACCGACAACACAGCGACACACACACCGACAACACAGCGACACACACACCGACAACATAGGGACACACACACTGACAACATAGGACACACACACACTGACAACACAGCGACACACACACCGACAACATAGGGACACACACACTGACAACATAGGGACACACACACTGACAACACAGCGACACACACACCGACAACACAGCGACACACACACACGACAACACAGCGACACACACACACCGACAACACAGCGACACACACACTGACAACACAGCGACACACACACACCGACAACACAGCGACACACACACACGACAACACAGCGACACACACACACCGACAACACAGCGACACACACACACCGACAACACAGCGACACACACACACCGACAACACAGCGACACACACACACCGACAACACAGCGACACACACACTGACAACACAGCGACACACACACACCGACAACACAGCGACACACACACCGACAACACAGCGACACACACACACCGACAACACAGGGACACACACACACCCACAGCACAGCGACACACACACCCCCCAGCACAGCGACACACACACACACAACACAGCGACACACACACCCACAACATAGGGACACACACACCGACAACATAGGGACACACACACCGACAACATAGGGACACACACACCGACAACACAGCGACACACACACCGACAACACAGCGACACACACACCGACAACATAGGGACACACACACCGACAACACAGCGACACACACACACCGACAACACAGCGACACACACACCGACAACATAGGGACACACACACTGACAACATAGGGACACACACACACCAACAACACAGCGACACACACACCGACAACACAGCGACACACACACCGACAACATAGGGACACACACACTGACAACACAGCGACACACACACCGACAACATAGCGACACACACACACCGACAACACAGCGACACACACACCGACAACATAGCGACACACACACCGACAACACAGGGACACACACACACGACAACACAGGGACACACACACCGACAACACAGCGACACACACACCGACAACACAGCGACACACACACCGACAACATAGGGACACACACACCGACAACATAGGGACACACACACCGACAACATAGGGACACACACACCGACAACACAGGGACACACACACCGACAACACACACACCGACAACACAGGGACACACACACACCGACAACACAGCGACACACACACCGACAACACAGCGACACACACACACCGACAACACAGCGACACACACACCCACAACACAGGACACACACACACCACAACACAGGGACACACACACACCGACAACACAGGGACACACACACACCGACAACACAGCGACACACACACACCGACAACACAGCGACACACACACACCGACAACACAGCGACACACACACACGACAACACAGCGACACACACACACGACAACACAGGGACACACACACACCGACAACACAGGGACACACACACACCGACAACACAGGGACACACACACACCGACAACACAGGGACACACACACACGACAACACAGGGACACACACACACCGACAACACAGGGACACACACACACCGACAACACAGGGACACACACACACCGACAACACAGGGACACACACACACCGACAACACAGGGACACACACACACCGACAACACAGCGACACACACACACCGACAACACAGCGACACACACACACCGACAACACAGCGACACACACACACCGACAACACAGCGACACACACACACCGACAACACAGCGACACACACACACGACAACACAGCGACACACACACACCGACAACACAGCGACACACACACACCGACAACACAGCGACACACACACACCGACAACACAGCGACACACACACACCGACAACACAGCGACACACACACCGACAACACAGCGACACACACACACCGACAACACAGCGACACACACACCGACAACACAGCGACACACACACTGACAACATAGCGACACACACACGACAACATAGCGACACACACACTGACAACATAGCGACACACACACTGACAACATAGCGACACACACACTGACAACATAGCGACACACACACTGACAACATAGCGACACACACACTGACAACATAGCGACACACACACTGACAACATAGCGACACACACACTGACAACATAGCGACACACACACTGACAACATAGCGACACACACACTGACAACATAGCGACACACACACTGACAACATAGCGACACACACACTGACAACATAGCGACACACACACTGACAACATAGCGACACACACACTGACAACATAGCGACACACACACTGACAACATAGCGACACACACACTGGCAACATAGCGACACACACACTGGCAACATAGCGACACACACACTGGCAACATAGCGACACACACACTGACAACATAGCGACACACACACTGACAACATAGCGACACACACACTGACAACATAGCGACACACACACTGGCAACATAGCGACACACACACTGACAACATAGCGACACACACACTGACAACAGCAGAGACAAATGAACTAACAGAAACACACTTCCCTATCCTCAAAATTAGTCAATTTGATTCTGCCTGCATTATGCGTGCATTGCTTCATAAACCAAAGTATGTAAGTTACGTTGCAATCTCTAGCAAAGGTATCTTTTTATTAAATTGCAATCTTAATAGGCGCTGCATCCAAAATACCTACTCTAGGTGTAAAGATGCTATTAATAACATGTTTCAGTGCGACTGTTTGTAGGATGAGTTTATACCATGCAATACACTTCTGGCTTCCGGTGCTGACTCCCCAACTTCCTGCACTTAGCAACCATGTGCAGAAGGCCTTTTGGCATCAAGTGGTATGCCAACTACTGGAAATGCTTGTGAAAGAGGTTTCCAGGTTCCTGAACACATTGCCTATAGCAATGATGTGAGGTCCATTGGACATTTTTATAGTGGGCAATGTTATAACTTGGGTGTGGACTTGAACCGCCATGCTATAATAGGTCTGACTGTATAATAATAATAATAACAATAATAATAATAATCCTTGCATTTGATACAGTGCCTTATCACGTCTTTGAGACATCTCAAGATGTATGCAAGTCAAGTTAGCCAAATACGAAACTATTTTCAAAGAAGGAACTACAAATACCCTTAATTGCTTAAGTAAAAAATAATGAATTGGATTACAGAATCACAAAGCAGCTCTTAAGGTAGCTGCCCTGTCTACATGTATTCTGTAGAAATGAACGCAATAATGCAGCAATTCTACCTCTAAAACCTTGAAAGATTATTACTTAGTACAAGGTGATTGGCCTCACAATTGATGCCATTTTCGCCCACAAATATACAGTCAATTCACTTTACAGGATATTCTGTGAAGCGCTTTCAAACATCTAAAAGATGGGAAAAGCGCTATATCAAATGCAAGGATTATTTTTTATTCATTATTTTTGCCATATTGGGCTAACACTCCAATGCAGTGCTGGGTGTATACTGGATTGTTGGAGGTGCCTTCCTTCGGATGAAACATTAAACAGAGGTCCCATCCGTCTTCCCAGGTGGACGTTAAAGATCCCATGGCACTATTCGAAAAGAGAAGGAAGGTTCTCACCCTGTCCTGTCCAACATTCCCCCAAATACAATTGCTCATTTGTTTTGTAGCTTTGTGAGATATTGATGTGTAAATGAGTTGCTGTCTTTACCCAAAAAATTATAGCTTGCACTTTACAGTATATCACTTTGAGACATTCCGGACATGAAAGGTGTAAAAATTATTATTATTATTGTTTGGATTTGCAAACACGATGGGCATTCACCAAAGTTCAACTCCTTGCATGACACAATTTGCTGAAAACACTGAAGAACGGGCAGTTGAGAGTCAAAATTTCACAGTGGAATGGCATGATTTGGTGCTCCAACTTTGACTGAAGGGATGAAAGCAGCTGTAATTAGCTTATTTTTAAAAAAGGAAGATGATTCAAGTACCTTTTTATAAGAATTTTTCTTATAAAAGTGTAGCAATAAACTTACAAGTTTTGTTCATACATGAAAGTAAAAGGGATTTATTTTCTGTCTGACGAGTAAAATAAATGGAGACAATATAACCTTGTATTCTCTCACTCAAATTAAATTGCCTTGGAAGACTACACAGACATCTCTGAGTGGTCTTAACAAGCAACAAACTCTTCTGAAATCTTTCCAGACTAAATCTCATAATATATCAGACTCTCAGAACTACCTCAATCTGTTCTATCTGACAAGGGTTGGCTTTATTCCCTTTATTTCTTTTCATTGTTCTAGATTAACAGAGGACTTACTATTTGTGGTTGTCATCTCTTGCTGCTGCTTTACACTACTTCTATGAATTAAAGCCTTTGAGGTGGTCTGCTTGAGGTTTCTTTCTACCGAGATTGTGAGTGCTTGTTCTTTGAAGTTTGTGTTGGTAATGCATGGATAGTATTTCATTGTAATTCTGTAGAATTGAATGTATTGGTTATTAGATGGAAGGAAAACTAGAAATGAAATAAAATCTACTCAAAAGTTTCAATGTAAATGGCTAATATAACACATACAAAGCAGTGGAGTCTGTGATCAGCTGATTCTTAACAGTATGTGATTAGGATGATTTGCTTTTTTAAAGGTACTCTACCATGCCAGTATGCAGAATGGAGATGGGATGCCATTGTCCTCCCACCGGTTGAAATTTGTTTTTCCCTGAGTATTGGAATACCAATGGTTTCAATGTAGCCTTTGGCCACTGACAAGTCTTTGAAGCCTCCATTGTATTCTTTAGACTACTAATGTCTTCCCCTTTATCAAGCTCTTGTTTTAACAAGTTTTATATCTCCCAGTTGCTCTCTCAAGATGTTTAAATTAATGATGAGAGGGTTTCAAATGACCGTATTCAAAAGGTGTGTATCTAAGCTTTGTTTTATGGAACTCTCAACTATAAAAGAATAGCTTTCTTATCCTCAAATAAATTGTGTTTTTTTTAAGGGGATGGCTTCCCCATCATCACAGTATTTCCATGGCCTACATGCTTCCCTAGCCTTACCACCCAGAACTGAACTCCCATCTGCTCACTCAAAGCAATATATAGGGGGAAGCGGGAAGAGCGTGTGTTGGGAGAGATGCATCCTGTTTTAACACCTGACTGAACGTGATGGAGATGCTTGCTCCAATTGTCACATGGTCATTGCAATGTATTCCGTTAAATTACAGATGTGGATGTAGTTTTGAGATGAATGTGTAAGACTCTTAGAGGAATTTAGTGAACCACCCTTTGAAAGTAAGTGGGAAATAGACCTTGAGCAAGTTTCCTTACTCCATACGTTTGATAATAATCCCTCAAGAAAAAAATATTACATTGGTCACTTCAATCCACAACTGTTTGTGGGACACTGCTGTGCGCAATTGGCTGCCACGTTTTGCCCACAAATATACAGTCAATTCACTTTACAGTATATTCTATGAAGCGCTATGAGACGTCTAGACGGCTTGAAATGTGCTATATCAAATGCAAGGATTATTATATTATAAAAGCAGCAGGTACAACATACTTAGACCAGAAAGTGCAGGAAAGAAGTGTTCAATTGCACCAAGATACACATCATCCATAATTCATATCAAATTGAAATAGTTAGAAATTGTTGTGTTACCCAGTATCTGCCAGTAAAATAAATCTTCACTACCACTTTTAGCCTGATCATGTGAGGCACAGCTGGTACCAGCTAAATGTCTTGATATCACTGTTGGCCAAATAAAAGGCTTTTGCCAACCTGCACCTAATACTCTCCAGAATTATGTAAATAGAGTACATCCCACCAGGGAGAAAGTGTGTATTCCAATTCAGTACACAAGAATTTTCATGTCTGGAGGGATGTTGACATGAATTTTCATGTGTTGGTGGGATGCATGGAATGTCAGATTTGCTCATAAGCATGGTGACAGGTTTCTGCATGTGTGAGACCACATGTGTTGACCAACAAAATGCCAAAAGTCCTCGAGTGCGATTTCAAGACAGTCAGAGAAGGGGCTAGACAGAGGGATTGAGGCAAGGAATTCCAGGAATTCGGGACATAGTGGGTGAAAGCACGGCTTGCCAATTGTGGAGTGGAGGAAATGAGGGATATGCAGAAGACCCATGCCAGCTGAGTAAAGTCAGTGGGTAGAGGAATGAGGTGCAAGCGGATCGGAGAGGGAGATGCCAGGGCATGAATAGATTTGAAAGTGAGTGTGAGGATCTTGAAAATGATCTTTTCTGCTACATGGAGCCAGTGGAGCCTGCAAGAATAGGGGAGATGGGAGTGAGGAGCCCAGTACAGGTGAGGACACGGGCGGCAGGGTTTTGAATTATTTGAATCTCGTTAATTGTGGAGCTGGGGAGATAGGCGAGGAGTGCTTTGAAAAATTGAGGCGCGAGGTGATGAAAGCATGAATAAGTGTTACAGCAGCATTGGGAGCAAAGGCGGATGATGTGGTGGAAGGCAATCCTAGTCAGAGAGCGGATGTGGGTTAGGAAGGATTACTGGGGATCGAACCTGAGGTTCAAGCCAAGGTTGCGAACAGGTTTGGTGAGTCTGAGGGATAAGCAAATAAGTGAGAAAACGTTGACCGGAGCCAAGGAGAATGGCTTCCATCTTGTCCATGTTCAGCTGCAGAAAGTTGGCACTCATCCAGCCTTGATATCTGGCAGGCAGGCAGCTTACCCCAGTAGGACTGGGGCCATGATTAGAAGAGAAAAAATAGATATGGATGTCATCTGCATATATTTGGAAGTTGAGCCCGTATCTGCAGATGATGTCACCAGGAGGAATATGTAAATAAGAAAAAGAAGACGGAGAATAGAGCCTTGCAGGTGATCTTGGGGGTGTTATTCGCATGGCAGAATAATTTGAGGAGACAAAATGTTGGTTGTGGATCAAGTACGATTTGAACCAGGAGAGAGCAGTCCCTCTGAGGTGGACGAGGGAGGAGAGGCAATCAAGGAGGATGATATGATCTACTGTGTCGAAAGCAATGGAGAGATCTAGGAAGACAAGGAGGGAGCCCTAGTCACAGAGACAGATGATTTGTAACCTTGATGGGGTGCTGTGAGCAGGGTGGAAACCAAATGGAAGGGCTCGAGAAGGGAGTGGGAGTGAAGGTGTGAATGAAGTTGGGTGGCAACAACGTGTTGCAGGACTTTAGAAAGGGAGAGTAGGTTTATGAGAGTCGGTAGTTAGTGAAGTTTGACTGATCAAGTTTTTTTTTGAGGAAACAGGGTGGGGGGGCAAATGCAAGCGAGGTTAGTGCAAGTTCAGCGAGGTTAGTGTGGGAGCGAGGTCAGCGGGAGCCGGCAGGTAGCATCAGGGACGAAGACTAGTGGGTAGCGACAGGGCCGAGATCTCGGGGTTTGACGATTCTTGCTCCCTCTGTCTCCACATCCTCTTTGCTGCTTTTGACACTGTTCACCACTGGCCTCCTGCACCGGCTCTTTAACCTCAACCTTCATGGTCTGGTCCTTGAATGGTTTAAATCCTACCTTTCATACCATCTCCACAAACAGCTTCATCTCCAGCCCCCTCACCGTCTCGTACAACGTTCCTCAGGGCTGTGTCCTTGGTCCCCTCCTTTTCAATATCTATATGCTCCCTCTTGGTGACATCATCTGTAGACATGGGGTCAATATCCACATGTATGTGGATGACATCCAACTCTATCTCTCTGCCTCCACCCTCGACTCCAGATAGAATATCTTTCAGACATCAAGTCCTAGATGAGAGCTAACTTTATCCAGTTGAATGTAAACAAGACCGAGGTTCTCTTGATTGGCTCCCGTCAGCACCTCTTCACCTCAGGCACAGACAGCATCACCATCCATGGTGCACACTCCACCTCACTGAGCCAGTCCGGATCCTTGGCGTTTTTGTTTGACCCTCAGCTGTCCTTTCTATCCCATATCCATGCCATGACTCGTTCTGCCTTCCCCCACCTCCGCAACATCGCCCGGCTCTGCCACTGCCTCTCCACTCAGGCCGCCTAAACCACCATTTATTGCAACCAGGCTCGACTGTGCCAACTTCTTGCTGATTGGCCTTCCCGTCTCTTCCCTTCTCAAGCTACAGATCATCCAGAACTCTGCAGCTCGTGTCTTCTTCTGCACTGGACTCCATGACCCCATCACCCCCACCCTCGCCCGGCTCCACTGGCTCCCCATCCCCAGCAGATAGAGTTCAAAATCCTCATCCTCAGATTTAAAGCCCTCCACAGCCTTGCTTCTTCCTATCTCTGTGCCCTGCTAACCCCATATCAACATGTCCACTCCCTCCACTGCAGGCTCCGACCTGCTTCACATCCACCACCTGGCCTGCCCCACCATCAGCGGTTGGGCCTTCAGCCTCTCTGCTCCACCCTTTGGAACTCCATCCCACCATCCCTTGGCCTTGCTCCCTCCCTTGCCTCCTTCAAGATGCGTATCAAGACCCTCTTTGACTGTGCTTTTGACCACCTTCCTACCCCTACCCACCCTGCCCTCCACTGCTGCTGATCCTCTGCTCGGGTCCAAATCCCTGATTGTCCAGCACCTTGGGATGTCCTCCCGACGTGAAGGGCACTATACAAATGTAATTTGTTGTTGTTGACTCAGTATTAAGGGGTCGCGGGACGGTGCTGAAGGAGAGGGGCAGGTTGACTGTGTCCACCAGAAGGGCTAAAGGAGTGGGAGTTTTGGTCAGTAATTGAGTGGGGATGAGGTCGAGAGAGCAGGTAGTAGGTTTCATAATAATAATAATAATAATAATCCTTGCATTTGATATAGCGCTTTTCACGTCGGGAGGACGTCCCAAAGCGCTTCACAGAACACACTGTAAAGTGAATTGACTGTATATTTGTGGGCGAACGCGGCAGCCAATTGCGCACAGCAATGTCCCACAAACAGTCGTAGATTGAAAATGACCAATTTTATTATTGTTTTTGGTTTTGGAGGGATTATTATTAGGTGTGTGGAGTAAGGAAACTTGCCCAAGGTTTCGCCCTGCCTGGAATTGAACTCGGGTCTCTCACTTGCAAAGCGAGTGCTCTAACCACTGAGCTACAGGACTCATCTGATTGAAGAGGGGTTTGAAGGACAAGGTCGAAATGGGGTCGGGCATGAATTTTGGAAGTAGTTGAGGCAGTAGAGGGGGAAATAGGAGTTCTGGAACGGGGGGATGAGGGTGGAAGGGGTGGGGTGGAAAGAGGAAGTAGCCAAGCGGATGTTGTCTATTTTCAATATGAGGAAGTCCATGTGCATTTGGCATTCAAAGTGAGGATGGAGGGTGCTTAAAAAGGGGCATGGATGAGTTGATGTGTGGTGGGTGAATGATTAATTTGGAAGACTGTTGGCCAGGACACCAGGAGAAACTTTCTTTTGAAAAGTGTTATGGAGTCTTTAATGCACAACAAGCAGAAATAATCTTGCTTTAATCTCTCATCTGAAATATAGCATCTCCCACAATGCAGCGCTTTCTCAGTCCCTCCAGAACCCACTACTGTCAGAGGTGACACTACTACCAACTGAGCCACACTGACAATTCTATAGTCAATAATCCTTCAAGAAAAAGAACAATAATAAATTGGTCACTTCAATCCACGACTGTTTGTGGGACACTGCTGTGCGCAATTTGGCTGCCGCATTTCGCCCACAAATATACAGTCAATTCACTTTACAGTATATTCTGTGAAGCGCTTTGAGACATCTAGACGGCTTGAAAAGCGCTATATCAAATGCAAGGATTATTATTATTAGTAGTAGTATTATAGTGGTACCTATTATCTAGCAGGAGCTGATTTCTAGCCCCTCTCCATTTGGCCTCAGAAAACTTCCTACATGTGGCTCCAGGTCTGTATTTATGGATGTTGTTCGCTTTTCTTGGGGTCCAGCAAAAAAGTGATTGACTTCTACTGTATGAGTTGCCACAATTGAAATCAGGAGTTCATTGCATAGGGAATCAGACTATCCTCCTTGGTGGGGGAGATAAGTGGGGTCTCCTTAGAACTGAGGTGACTCCAAGGTAACATACGTTGCAACAAAATGTGGCAGTCTTGGTTGTCTGTTTCCTGAGGCAAGTGGGTGTGCAATACTCTCAAGGGCACTGCTGATGACAGACCAGCCAGTTTGACCCTTTGACAGATTTTAAAGGGGTAGGGAGCAGGACTGGGATTCAGTCTTGGGGGCAGAGATTCTTTCCACTCAGATCCTGATAACCCTGGAAGCCAAAGCACTAACGGGTAGGATGGTCCTAGATGGACAGCAAGTGGAAGCTTGCCAGACAGTGCTCTGAGGTTTTAGCTGGTTCAATTCCAGCAAAATCCCAACACTGGAGACTCCCAAGCCTTGGCTCTCGTCAACCTGCGATTTATACTCTCACGAATTAGGTATGCAGGATGCGAACCACCTGGGACAGAGTGAATATTACATTTCAAACAGAGACTTTTTTTTGTTTAGGTGGCATACATATGTGGAACTCTCAATCTATTTTGGATAATCTTTAGCACAGTTCTGGGTTCCTGTGTGTCAAACTCCCAACTGGCCATAAAAAAGGGAATCTTAGAATGCAGATCCATGTCACCGTCACTCTGTAGTGCATTGCATTGCACCACTTCAGAAAATTGTTCTTGATTGTGGCCATCAACTCAAACTGAGTGAGTTACAGTTATTTAAGAGTGTATTTGAATACAATAACACATCTCAAGTTTAGGGCTAATAAATAACATGGGCTTTTTCTTGGGTATTTAGGATGTTTATTCAGCCCTTTAGATTCTCACACACTGCCTTTCATTTCTTGTTTTTTTTGAAAAAACACCCTATTTTTCCCTCATTTTCTTCCAGCGTGTTCACTGTCAGTGCTGGTCTAAGAGATCAAAGAAGCACGGTTCCATCCTTGTAGCTAAATTCCTACAACAATTATATGGCAACCAGGAAGCCAGTGTTCCAAGAGAGACCTGTACATCTGTTATTGATGCTGCCATGTGTTTGTGTTTTTTTTCCAGCTAATCTCAACTCTTGACTACTCCAGCAGTCCTGTTGAACTTCGAAGTACATTTCCAGAGTTCATATTTTGGTGAAACAGAATATGCAGATATTCTCATTCAATTTTAAAAAAATGGTTAAGGGAAAAGTGAACAAATCCTCACAGGTTTCCTAACTCTGAGTGCTTCCAGACAATGTAAAGCTCCTGTCAAAAAAATGAATCATATTCTAGGTTGGAGGACATTTGAAATAAATTATTCTAAGCCTGCATAGAACACCAGTGAAACCGCATTTAGAATATTGTGTGCATTTTTGTGTACTGTATCATTTCGAAAGGTTATTGCAGCTTTCAGGATGATTCACAAAGAATGAGAATGACACTGGAATTTAGAGTTTTAAAAAAGAAAAAAAGGTCAAAAAGACATATTTTCAAAAAGATTGAGGGAGCATATTCAGGTCTTTCAAGTTATGAGAAGCATAGGTAATGTAGATCTGAGTAGGCTATTTTACTTTGACCATGAGAACAGAACTGGAGGCCATAGGTTTAAAACTACAAGATCAAACTTGAACAGTAGAATTATGGGGGTGGAGGAATATTTTGGAGGTTTTTGTTTTTTTATCTTTGAAGTTCAATGAGATCTATAGGACCTTCCATGGGAGGTAGAGTGGGTGGGGTAAATTCCATAAGATAGGATTTTGTGGCTTGTGGATAAAATCATAGGGTAAGGTTGACTTTAATGATGCTAATTATTTTTCTCTTTCCTTTATTCTATGTTTTATGTATTTTCTCTTACTACTCTACTTCAAATCCTTGTAAACATGTTCATGTTTCCTCAATCTTGCTGATATAGATCTGATCATATCAAAACATTAATTCCATTCACATGTTCTTAAGGGCTATAACTATAGTATTGTTTAGCTAAAATACAGAGAAGGGCCTCATTGGGTTTCTGTTTCTATCTAAGCCATGATGACATGATGAGCTACATATACATAGTAATCAGAATCTAAATTTAATCTTTGCCAAAATAGTCACTTTCCTTCTCATTCACAACCACTATTCCAACAAATCTATATATAATACAGGGAACGTTGCCATATTTTCTCTGCCCCAAGCACCAGCAAAGCCTCTTATGAGTTTCTGCTTGTTCTGAATAGCACAGAAATATGCCTTTGTCTGGTATGTGTATGTGGTTATCACACATAGACTGGTTTAAATGCAACTGCCTATTGAACAGTTCTATACGAATCTCGGCAGTGGATAGACAAGTAATTGATAAGAAAAAAAACGCTAACTTTTGACCTGAAAAGGTGCAATATCAAATGCAAAGATTCTTAGGATTATAAATGGATTTATTTTTTATATAAAAACGTTTGGTGCCATTGTATTTAAGTCATTCACGTAAAACTGCTTTTTATGGTATAAATTGATGTGTATTCTTGGTGAAAATGTAGGTTTTAAATTTTGGATGTTTAACTGCAAACATTTTTTATATCATTATTACGCGCTGATGTTTCCCACTGAATAAACCATTGTCATATTGTTAAATGGTTGGTTACAGTGCAACTGGAATCTTTTAGTAGTGGTTTAAAACAAAATTCTTAATTTTCCCTGTGTTTTTCAGGTCTCAATATTTAAGTTGTTTCTTGAGTGCAAGTTTACTAAGCCATGTTTACATATTCCATTGAGAAGTAAAATATAATCTGGTTTAATTAGATTACAGCACTGCTAATAGGATGCTTTATATTAAAAATGAAACGCGACATTCCTTTTGAAGCAGGAAATGTAATATTTTGTTCATGAACTTTTGTTTACAGAATGGGAGCAGGAAGAACAGGAAAGGAAACATAAAGAGGAGCAACAGAAAGCAGAACAGTTTGAAAAAATGACAGAGGAGAGACGCAAGAAAGAAATTCTCTTAGCAAGGATGCAAGAGATTGACCATGAGACCAATGCAGACTCCTTGTTTTCTGACTTGCACAGCAAAAACACTTCATACGTGTTTTCCACAGAAATACTCAGCAGGTATGATGACTCACCGGATATAACACAGAAAACTAGCATATTCCCTCAGTCTGTGGAGAATGTGTACAGTGGATTGGCGCCCTATGATACTATTGTGCACACCGAGGGGTATGGTCGCAGGGGTATTCGAACCACAGATTCTAATGACAATCTCAGCTTTGGCATTTATGCGCCCTCTTTCGGGAAAGGAACTGGGCGGACTAGTCTGGCAAGTCAGAAGAGCAACATCGTAAAAGGGCAAATTAATGATTATTATGACCTTAATGTGAAAAAAGACAAAAAGTCTAATCTAATGGAACAGCTGTTTGGTTCTGGTGTCCACAATAGTGCCACCTCCAAAGATGAAGATTTGTTCATTTCTCCTCCTGTAAACAAACCCAATCGAGATAACAATCTTTTCCCCTGGGAAAAAACAGACCTGTCCACAGCCAGAGAGAATAATGATGATCCGTTCTCTGACACCAGTGTCTTTAATACCAGTCGTAATCGCTCAAAATACACCTCACTGAAGCCAGCAGTAAAAGCAATTGATTCATTAGAGGATGAAGTGGAAGAGGTGGTATTGTGAAAAGGGTTTTTAATTCTGACATTGCTCACAATCAAGAGCAACATTTCTTCCCATGAAAATAAATTATAATTGATTTAAGAAATTCTTAAGTTACTCAAAATATTCACACAAAGTTTTTGACAAGTTCAGAATAAACACCCATTGATTAATTTTGTAATATTGTGTGTTGGACAGACGCAAAACCCAAATTCTGGTCATTGTTCCATAAATTTAAAATATCCACCCCTAGTCAGCCCATATTTCTCAAATCAAATTAATGATTGATATTTAGGGGTCCTTTCCCACATTGTGGGTCTTGACTCACTTACATGTTGTAAAATTGCTCTGTACACACCTTGTGGTTGTAATGCATGGAAAATAACAGCACACTTCCAAAATAGTTACCACCCTCTTATTGATGTAATATTCTTCATATAGACTGTTGTTGTAAGTACAAGATCCACACAGAAGATTTAATCATAATGTATGTGTATATATGTATACAGTATACAGTATATCTATATTGTAAATCAAATGGTGTATTTTAATACTTTATGAAATGATGAAACATTTGAAAACTTGTTAAAGTCAACAATACAGTTTAACAAGCACTACAACGCGCTACCCTGCGTGAAGAGCGGAATATCAATGCAAGTTGTTGTAATAAAAACCCATTACTAGATGGGACTCAATTTGGCAAAGAAAATACACTTCAATGTATTTACAACTTTAAAATGATCCACTTGACATTGCTTGATTTAGTGCACATCACAAAGAGGTTGTTTCCTGGAACTACGAATATCTTGATGTGTGAGCTACTGTTATTTGAACCCAGATTTTATACTGAAACAGAGAGAAGGATCTTGATTTATCTATAACTTTAAATCATGCTCTGTAAAGCTTCTCATCAAGGTGGCAAACTGAGGATTTGTTAACAAAATATCTGTTTTTCTTTTCAAAAGAAACATTAGGTTTTCTTAGAACAATTACCAGTAAATGTGAATGATCACTAGATAAAATGTTCTTCATTTTATTCTATGTTTTAATCATCAATAAGCATATTTCTAAATAGTCAGTTTAACAGCACTCTTTTCATTAGGACTATCTAATAGACATCACTTTATTAGCACTTAAAAATACACTACTTCAAAACTACAAGCCTAATAATAATAATTATTGTATGTATTAACTGGTGCACAATTTTCAGAAAGCTTATTTATTGCCACATTGTGTTTTTATACTTTTGAAAACAGTTTTAAATATAAATTTTCTCATTTCATTTTTCGTACCTCAATAGTAATGTTGCACATTAAGTGTAATGATCTCAAAAATAAATGTTAACTGTGGACTAGCCTGGATTGTGCCTATTTATTACTTGACTGTCTATTTATTACATGGGTTTGTTGCGTGTCCCCCTGCGCTCTCCATGCCACCGTCAGTGGTAAAGCCTTCATTGCCTACAGTTCCAACCTCATAATGTGGCTGTGATGTGACCTGTGACTATGTTGATAGAACTAACTAAGTGTAACAGATAGTTTTTGGCAGCAATGGCAATGATATCAAGGCACTGTAGCAGAAAAAAATCAGCTAATTGCAGTTCCTGATTGGAATCCAGGGACCACCACGCCCACTGGAAAATGCATATGTACAGATGTTTCCTCCCCCCACCCACCCCGCACTCACTATAGAGAATAGCTTACATAGGGTCAAGCCTGCAAGCAGCAATCGTTTCAAAAAGATTCCCCCCCCAAACCACCTCTTCTACAGAAGGCATTGACACATGCTGGTCTATGGTTCCTCAGTTGCTAAGCAACTAACACTATCTCATCATCCAAATGACCATTCTTCAAGTGTTTAAGTGCTGAGAAGATATTCAACCACAGGTCACAGCCCAGCTCTGTCATTCTCCTTATCAGTCATACAAGCTGAGGCTGAGTGTATCTATTGTTGCCCCAGTTGACCAGGTGATTGATGCTGGGACCAACAGGGTCTCCCATTGCTTACTTTCCCTGCAGACTGGCCTGAGCTTTGGAGGGAAGTCTTTGTCTCACCATCTTTCCTTCATACTGAGAAAGGTGTGTTACTGTGGTAACAGTTTCCGGCCCTCAAAACAGCTTTTTGTGATTGAATTGTTGCCTCTTCACAGTGTCAATAGACGATTCACCCACAAATATACAGTCAATTCACTTTACAGTATATTCTGTGAAGCGCCTTGAGATGTCTAAAAGATGTGAAAAGCGCTATATCAAATGCAAGGATTATTATTATTATTATTATCAAATGCAAGAACTATTATCTGGGGGCTTTAAAGTCTTGTGCATTAATTAATGGTGCAGTTCAATACGTGAATAGCACATGCAAAGGATAATAATAATAATAATCCTTGCATTTGACATAGCGCTTTTCACGTCGGGAGGACGTCCCAAAGCGCCTCACAGAACACACTGTAAAGTGAATTGACTGTATATTTGTGGGCGAACGCGGCAGCCAATTGCGCACAGCAATGTCCCACAGACAGTCGTAGATTGAAAATGACCCAATTTATTATTGTTTTTGGTTTTGGAGGGATTATTATAGGCTCTGTGTGGAGTAAGGAAACTTGCCCAAGGTTTCGCCCTGCCTGGAAGTGAACTCAGGTCTCTCGCTTGCAAAGCGAGTGCTCTAACCACTGAGCTACAGGACTCCTCATGTTGCTAGGTTATTAGCTGGAGTTAGATTGGAAGATCAGCCATGATTGAATGGCGGGGCAGGGTCGAAGAGCCGAATGGCCTACTCCTGCTCCTACATGTTATGTTATGCTAAGTAATGCATCTTTCAGGGTTCTGTTCCAAGAAAATAATGAACCGCAGGAATTGCAAAACGCAATATAGCCACTAATGAAAGGTTTAATTGTAATAATTCAGCTACAATGATGTTCATTTACTGAAAGCGGCATATGTCACTGAAGTTGCAGCTGAAAGTGTTCAATGTATTACACACCATTGCCAACAATTTTCCAATGGTATGCAGAAACTTGAAATGTAACTAATATTAGGAAAAATGTTGCAGCATGAAATGGTTTGTATTTTCAACTCTTGAGGATTATGACAGAACATGTTCAGCCATAAATATGGATTGCATTAAGGTAATTGTGGTACATTGTGGTCCAATTCCTGGGCGGGGTATAACCTTAGACAAGTTTCCTTACTCCACACACCTTTGAGGCAAGCGCTCTAACCACTGAGCTACGGGACTCTTACCTGGAGACAAAGGATTGTCTCCATTGCTAATTGAATTTGAATTTTGCAAACTAGAAAGATGCAAAATAGTTTTTCCTTCATCTAATCTGTGAATTAAAGCTGCTCTTTTTTTTTAGAAAAAAACTGGACAGACACCCAGACATATTTTGTTGCTGTACTGAAGAGATCAAAAATAGCTCTATAATGGCTCAGAGTCCTGTAGCTCAGTGGAGAGTCCTGTAGCTCAGTGGTTAGAGCACTCGCTTTGCAAGCGAGAGACCTGAGTTCAATTCCAGGCAGAGGGCGAAACCTTGGGCAAGTTTCCTTACTACACACAGAGCCTAATAATAATCCCTCATAAAACCAAAAACAATAATAAATTGGTCATTTTCAATCTACGACTGTTTGTGGGACATTGCTGTGCGCAATTGGCTGCTGCGTTCGCCCACAAATACACGGTCAATTCACTTTACAGTGTGTTCTGTGAAGCGCTTTGGGACGTCCTCCCAACGTGAAAAACGCTATATCAAATGCAAGGATTATTATTATTATTATTATATTTTCACTTTATGAAAAGTGAATCAAATTAGCTGCCGCAATTGTCTACAAATTATGCAGTCACTGCACTGTACAATAATATCCTGTGAAGCACTTTGTGGTCTAGGAGTGAAAACCACACAAAAATATTCTAAGGGTGGCTCCCCCATACTAAAGTCATGTTATTAACACAATGGACTGATCAGTGGTGGATGAGGTTCATTGAAGAGAAATGTGAGGTGATTGATTTTTGCAAAATATTATTATTGAATAATAATAAGCCTTGCATTTGATAAAGCGCCTTTGCACATCTTCGAAATGTCTCAAGGTGCTTTACAGAATATACTATAAAGTGAATTGACTGTATATTTTGTGGACAAAATGCGGCAGCCAATTGTGTACAGCAGTGTCCCATAAACAGTCGTGGATTGAAAAGTAATATCTTGCAAGTGGCACATAGGGACATAGTGATTTGAGAGAGATTTGAAATTGACAAAGCCTGAAAGAAGGCTATATTAGCATGCTGAGTTTAATACACAGGGACATAGAGTACAGAAGTAAATAGATCATGCCCTTAGCATAGTAGTTTGTAAACTCGGCTCGCAAGCCAGACGACCTGGGTTTGATTCCCAAGCGGGGTGAAACTTTAAGCAACGTTTGTTACTCCACATCTTTGTTTTTCTTGCAGTAAATAGGAACCCAGTTGTTAGTCGATTCACTTTCCCGGGATAATAATGCCTAACAAAAATCTTGACACTCAATCCACAACTTGCAGGATACTGCTGTGCACAATTGGCTGCGCGTTTCACCCACAAAACACACAATATATTCTGTGAATTGCTTTGTGATGTCTCAAAGACGTGATAAGGCTCTGTACCAACTGCAAGATTATTATTACTATGCTAAGTTTGTAAAAATTATTGGTTAGGCCGCACCTGGAATATTGCATCCAGGTTTGGGAACCTCACTTCAGGAAAGATGTTAGGACATTGGAGTGGGTGCAGAGTAGGTTTACAAGAATGATTCCTGGGATGAAGGACTAATAATAATAATAATAATAATAATAATCCTTGCATTTGATATAGCGCTTTTTACGTCTTCTAGATGTCTGAAAGTGCTTCACAGAATATACTGTACAGTGAATTGATGGTATATTTGTGGGCAAAACGCGGCAGCCAATTGCGCACAACAGAGTCCCACAAACAATCGTGGATTGAGTAGACCAATTTATTATTGTTTTGTTTTGGAGGGATTATTATTAGGGGTGGAGTAAGGAAACTTGCCCAAGGTTTTGCCCTCTGGAATTGAACCCAGACGTCTCGCTTGCGAGGTGTACGGTCTAACCACTGAGCTACAGGACTACACTTATGAGGAGAGACTTGAGAGGCTGGGCTTGTTTTCATTGGAGCAGAGAAGGTTGAAGCCCGATCTGATTGAAGTCTACAAAATAATGAGGGGTTTTGTTAGGGTAAATAGAGAGAAATTATTTTTATTGATATGGGAGTCAGTAACTAGGAGACATAGTTGGAAGATAGCCACAAGAATAGTGAAAGGAGAATTTATGAAGAATTTTTTCACCTAGAGATTCGATGGGATGTAGAATGCCCTGTGTGGTAGGGTGATAGAAACGAAGTCAATTGTATCTTTCAAGCGGGAAATAAATAGAAAGAGAGGGGTTTGAAATGGTGTGGGGATAAAGTGGGATTGAAGCAATATCCTTGTTCTGTGAGCCGGTGGATACTTGATGTATCTTCTGTGCTGTAGATTTCTATGTGCCATATGCAGTTTTATCAAGACATCCAGATTTGTTGCATCTGACTCCATTTTTTATTATCAAGTGTGATCTGCTGTATTGTGAGTGTAACAGGAGTTCTGACTCAGAATTAGGTCTTAAGAGAAACTGAACTGGAATAAAATGGTCATTTTTCAATGCTAGTTGCCTCAGGAGACAAACTGCTACCTGTAGTAATGCAAAAGGTGGAATAAATTAGGAGGAAAATCTTATAAAGCTGAATTTGTTATCATTGGAGAAAATGTACCTTAACTTCCACAGAATTTGAAATTCAACAATAACAATAAAATTACACTTATAGAGTGCCTTTCACATCGGGAGGATGTCTCAATGTAAAATTCCTCTGAAATATACATTTGTTGGCTGGTATACCACCAAATAAAGTCCTGGCAAATCCACCTCTGTTACTGTCCCACCCTTCCCTACAGGATGGATTAGCACAATCTGATTATGTGTATGATTTAGGTTCCACACATTTGCATTGCGAAATAAGAAGTAAATATAATTGTGCTGTGATGAACAACATTTACCCATAGATAATAATAATAATTATTATCCTTGCATTTGATATAGCACTTTTCATGTCTTCTAGACGTCTCAAAACGCTTCACAGAATATACTGCAAAGTGAATTGACTGTATATTTGTGGGCAAAACGTGGCAGCCAATTGCGCACAGAAGTGTCCCACAAACAGTTGTGGGTTGAGTGACCAAATTATTATTTTGTTGAAGAATTATTAGCCCCAGAAAAGCGATCTGCCAATTGACTAACAACCAGGTTCCTACTTACTGCTAGGTAAAC